GCAACGCGAAACCAAAATCGCAAACGCGAAATGAAAATCGCAACGACAGAATCGCAATGCGAAATGAAAATCGCAACGAAAGAATCGCAACGCGAAATGAAAATCGCAATGCGATTTTGGTTTCGCGTTGCGATCTGTCGTTGCGATTTTGGTTTCGCGTTGCGATTTTGGTTTCGCGTTGCGATTTTAAGTTTCGTGTTGCGAAAGTAAACTATTTCTTCTTCTGCAAATTGAAACTTGAATGGATAAATTTACTTTCAACCAAAAGATAAACAAAGACAAATACTATTTCAAAGGGTGTTAAAGAATACACAGTTTAGCAGAATTGGCAGCAACGGAACAAATTTACTTTCAACCAAAAGACAAAACAAAGACAAATATTTCACAGTGTTATAGAATACACAGTTAGCAGAATTGGCAGCAACCGACAAATTTACTTTCAACCAAAAGACAAAACAAAGACAAATACTATTTCACAGTGTTATAGAATACACAGTTTAGCAGAATTGGCAGCAACCGACAAATTTACTTTCAACCAAAAGACAAAACAAAGACAAATACTATTTCACAGTGTTAAAGAATACACAGTTTAGCAGAATTGGCAGCAACGAACAAATTTACTTTCAACCAAAAGACAAAACAAAGACAAATACTATTTCACAGTGTTAAAGAATACACAGTTTAGCAGAATTGGCAGCAACCGAATAAATTTACTAAGCAATCTAGTGAAATGGCTAATCTAGTGAAATTACGAGTAAATTTATCATTAAGTTAAATATGGAAAATCTTAAAACTTACCTCGTGCGTAGAGTATGAACTCATTCTGCAACGATACTATCATCTCACGTAGAGCGGCAACCTCACCACGTAAAGTTGACACCTCCACACGCCATGCACCATCGTTATCGCGTAGAGTACGATCTCCTCACGCAAGGCATGACCTCACACGTACTCCCTTGACTCATCCCGTTGAGAGGTGGAGAACAGGGAGATAGGAGTCGTGGCATCTTTGCCGGTCGCCTATCATGAGGTGATGGTGGAGAAAGAGGCGATGTGACGGGATAGGTGATGGCTCTCGTTCTAGAGGTGTATAGTCGGGTCGATCGGGTGATGGCTCTAGGTGAGGTGATAGCTCTCGAATGGAGGAAGTGGATGCTGCTCATCATCCGTGCCATCAAAAAATTCTGACTAGCTTGCCACCAATCAGTGGCAAGCTCTTCCTCCGTGGGTGTCAGTCTTTGTAATGGAATGTTAGCCTCCTAAAATATAAAAACTCAAACAAGTTAAACGTCTACTATTAATAACTTGTTTAATTATATGAAAGTTGTGTTAATTACATTATTATTGTGGCATATGGTATTAAGTCTTCCCAATCCAACAGAGTTTTCCTCTTCAGGAAATAGCCCTGGGAATATCATTTGACGTTTTTATTGCATATGTACGCATGCTGGGAAAGCCTCGAATATCCAAATCTACAAACAATATAATAACAAAATTAGTAATTGTTAAATAATTAATTATAATTTTAGAAACTTATATAGAATTCTTACCTTAAAGGCCAAACAAAGCCTGACAAAGTGTATTTGGACCCATCGCCCCGCAAACTTTTGCGGTCATCAAAGGCAGACGACAACTTAGTCCAGGTAGCTTTATATATACGAACCCCACGGAAACAGATTCCAGCATTCAGGTCCTCTACCAATATTATTAGCTCCCGATGAATAGGTTGTCTGGCCTCTCTGCCTAAAAAGCGGCATACACAAGTAGTAGAAGGCATAATCGGACAACATCGACGTCATCCATCGAGTGAAACCAGCTTTCTTATTAAACAATTTCTTCAGGTCGTCGACATGTAGGTTCGGCTTCTCCATTGACTCATCCGGAAAAACCGGGATAACCATGATGGGCGGGCGATATGACGAGTGTACCGGCCTACATCATCGTGTCCGAATCGTAGACCAGTGATTAAGCAGAACTCCTTCCGCCCAAAAACAAGTATACGCTGGTGGAAAATGAAACCATATCTCTTCCTCACCACGTTGTATACTGTCGGGTAGATTTGATGTCATGGTTGAAGCCACAAATGGGTCAAATTAGCATCTCCACCGGATGCTGTACTCTCAGCCATGGCCCGAAGCAGGTTTCCTCAAACAATTGTCTTTGAGCAGGTGAAGCTTCTTTGCAATTGTAGTGGCAGGCTGACTTTATTTCTCAAGGTCAATTGAGCCGAAAAAAATTTCTACAAAAACAATAAACATACCAAGTTAGATATACCAAAAACTACACTGTGAAGATATACCAAAAACATAAACATAAAAAGTAGTAGTTATTCTTGAAACTAAAGTAACTGGGATAGACTTGCTTACTAAACGAACTAAGTAACCTCATGACTGAGGATTAAATAGGTGATTGGATGAGTTTGGAAACACTGTTGAACTTACATGATGAATTATCCTATGGGTTATGAACCATGAAAGTACGTCTGTATTTCTGATATCGTTGAAACGTGGAAATGAAATAAAGACCGTTGGAAGATCTATTCAGCGATGATTATGGGGATGATCTATGGATCTGCATTATGGTATTAAAGAGTGAATACACTAGAAGGATAATGAATTGACTTATTGACATGCATCAGTTTGGGAGTTGTGTAACTCGAGTTGTTTGATAATACGATCGATAGTCATAGATTGTAAATGACTTGAATATTCAATTCTATATTTTCATCTAAAATCACTTCGATCATGTTTGAAAACGCAAGTAACGCATAATGAAAAGATTTTGAATACCTCATTTGGTTCAATTGGGCTGAAATCGTATGAATTCAAAGTATATTCATGAATACCCCTGATTGTTTGGGTAATGGGATCACTCGTAGTAAATCTGAATTTATAATTATTATGTACAAAGGTTCCTGAACGTTTTCCGGATGCACATGGAAACTTAGTGGAATTCTAAAGTATCAATCTTAAATGTTTGATTAGATTGGTTACTGTTTTATGGATGCACCGACTTAATGGTGATGGTTTTAGATTTGCATCACGATATAATTATATCTTGGATATACATATTACAAAGTACAAGCTCTGATCAAGCTGGAAAATTTTTATGGACCTATGTGACTCTTAGGTAGGCTCTACTCCCTGAGATCATTCTCAAGTAGGCCCCGCGGCCTAAGATATGTTCTTAAATAGGCCCCGTAGCCCGAACTTTCTTGGGGCTCTCAGGCCCTAAGATTCCCTTAGGTAACTCTTTGCAAGATGGTTTTAAAATACGAGTTTAAAAGCTCAACTATAGTATGGTTTATGGATTTTACTGAACTATCATTTGATTAGTGTACCTATTATGATTTTATCGTACTGATAGAACACAATAGATATCCTATCGACCTCATGAAAACGTGATAGTATGAAAGGTTTCTTATGAACTGAGATTCATGGCTTCTACTCGATGAACCTGATCAAGCTGGAAAATTTTTATGGACCTATGTGACTCTTAGGTAGGCTCTACTCCCTGAGATCATTCTCAAGTAGGCCCCGCGGCCTAAGATATGTTCTTAAATAGGCCCCGTAGCCCGAACTTTCTTGGGTAGCTCTCAGGCCCTAAGATTCCCTTAGGTAACTCTTTGCAAGATGGTTTTAAATACGAGTTTAAAAGCTCAACTATAGTATGGTTTATGGATTTTACTGAACTATCATTTGATTAGTGTACCTATTATGATTTATCGTACTGATAGAACACTAGATATCCTATTCGACCTCATGAAAACGTGATATATGAAAGGTTTCTTATGAACTGAGATTCATGGCTTCTACTAATGGCCGAGATTTCAAAAGCCAACAAAGCTAACGCCGACCACGACAACCCTCTGTGGTCACTCTTCGCTCCAACCCCTTACTGTGTCAACAAGGTAAATTATACTACCCTTGATATTCATTAAACCCTTCTCTTTGTTATTCCTAACCGAGACCCTCAAGACCCCCTCACGCTGAAGATCTAAGACTCAAAACGAAGGTTTGAAACCCACATGCAAAACACAAATAACGACTAAGGGAAATCGATCTTCCTTAACCCTGATGGCTCGATTACTTTCGCGATGAGAGGACTGGCCATGAAGGTAAACGACCCCTCCTTTACACTATATCTAATTCTTTCTATGCTAGGAACGAAGAATGTTAGAAAGAAATGCATTTTAAAAAGGCTAAGTATATTACTTCGAAAGTGATTAAAAAAAATAAAGAAAATATTAGTGTAAATAAGAAATAAATAAAAAAAACCTTGGACGAATGATATATGGATGCTAGGAAAATTCCCTCTTTCGATTGCTTATCTCTGTTTTAATGGGATGATTATACTTTTTCTTTTACATTGATTTCCAGCTTCAATCTCTCCGAAAGAGAAAAAAAAACTTTTGCCTTCGAAAAAAATCAGAACCCTCCCTTTCTCCTATTGTTTTTTCCTGCTCTCCCTCTATTATTGTTTTTTTTTTCTGTGAATTCCCGAATGCTCTCCTCTGTTTTTTTCTGTGCGAGAGCCCCCCTTTGTTGTTCGTCCCCCCTTTCGAATGGTCACCGAGTCCTCCTTTATTTCCTTTTTCTTCACCAAATTCCTTTATCATTGCATCTTGATTTTCTTCATTTGGTGAAATTTTGATGGGTTTAGGTTTGGGTAGGTGGAATCTATTTTTGACTTTGGCATGTGGATTATTTGTGCAGTAGGCTTCGATGGTGGCACGATTGGCAGCAGTGACTTAGCTTGAGCTAGTGTCAAATTTGCTGCAGGTTTCACGTGAAAGGCATTGATGGTGGCAGCATCTAAACGATTCAATTCTGGATCCGAGTCATAATTTGGTTTGATGTAATGGGGTCCGGTTTGGGCCTGCTTTGTAGTTTGGTCTGCAAAATGATAAAACATAAATAATATTAATATTATTAACAATAATATAATATTATTATAATAATTATTATTATATCCCGGACAAAACGGGTGTCTACACATGCCTCTGGTGTAGCTGAAGCACCTGAGATTGCAGCTCTCTTTCCCTTGCAGAAGAAGACGGTATCTGGAAGATACAATTACAACATCATCATTCCTTAGGAAAATAAAATATTTAACAAATATATGCCTATATAAGAACGCAAGCATAGCCCAGTTGGTTCGTTCTAATCACACTTAAGTGGGGATATTTAGCAGGGTTGGGATTCAAATCCCAGAATCCACAGTGTCTTCCCCTTTCCCCAGGCTGAGACCTCTTTTTTCTAAAAAAAAAATCTTTTTTCTAAAAAAAAAAAGGTTGCCTGTATGAGAGAATAAATCTCTGCATGAGAAAAATCAGGCACTGGCATAAGTCGGAATGCATGTGATAAGAAAGCATAACTAACAGGTTAATTGGCACCATGGAACATTACATTAAGAAAGGTCATATGGCTACTGAGAAGTTAGGGTTGACTAATTACCTGCAAAAGGTCATTGATGCCTACCTCTGTCAAATCCCCGAGCTTACCTGTATAAGAGAGAATTTAACATCGTTATTTCTGCCACAATGAAGCAAAACCCCCCCCCCCAAGCACCCAAAAAAAAAATGTGTAGAGGCACTACCAGAATTTTGCTCCAAATACTTTATCAGTCTAATTATTTCTTCCTGTCAACAATCATCGATAAAAAAACTTGTTTTTAAGACAGGCACCCACTATAACATGAGGTGAAAGGTAAGAAAACAAGCGTACCCTTTGCATGGTGTTCTGTTGCAAGATGCTTTGTAGAGATGTTGGGTTGGTTGAACCTCCAGTGGCCGGGTTAAACATGTAGTTAGTAGGTCCCTGAATGACAGAAAATAATGGCAATGGTTAAAAAGCCATTGCCTAAATGATTAATTGCTATGTTCCATCCTTATTGTTCAAAGGTATAAGCCACCAAATTTTCAAAGGTAACAATCCATATATTACCGGATGAACTTAACCAAAAGCATTGAAGCCTTGCATGAAAAACAGAGTTTAAGAAGATTACATGTATCCACGAGGACAAGAGACACAAGTCAACCATACATAAAGAAACAAAAAAAGATATGAAACTAACATCTGCAGTGGAATCATTTAGAATATAGTCATAGTCTTCAGCGGAAGTTTGATTTATTTAGTAACAGTTGATAGCATTAGGTGCATGTCATTTTGTTGATGCAGTATGTTACATGATGCCTAATAAATGGTCAGCTATGTAGATAGTTATCAAAACAGATAACGCGGTAAATTATTACAGACAGGTAGAGATATAGACTCTCGATATATGTGTCAGTTACTAACCGTGCCATATATTTCAAGTAAAGGCTCTTTATCAGTACAGAGTTGCATGTTGGTGGCTTATTGCATAATAATAGCAGAAGATTGAACCCAATACGCTGCAAAGTTTCTTTATACAAAGTAAAAGTTTCAATACATAGCAGACGTACCTTGGGACTGAGATCTGCTGAAGTCATCTTAAATCGTCCCCAATGAACAACTGCTCCTTCTGAAGCATCCTCTGAGAGGCAAGAGGTAAAGATAACAAACAGAGTTCACTAGCATACAAATAAGTAGTAGCAGAACTTCTAAGAAGAAATGAAAGATAATAAAACCAGGAAATACCAGATGAAGTGTTATTTGTTTCTCTCCTCTGGCGGTACAATGGACCACTGTAGTTGCGTTCAGATGGAAAAATAGGCTGTGGGAAGTCCCTGCAAAACAAAGTTGATAAATCCAATTTAATATTAATTGACATACAAAGCTTTTCTAGTAAAGTGAAAGGCAATGATGGCAAACAAATGTTCCATTTAACTACAGAATGGTAGGAACAAAAACCAAGACAAGAAGTCCCAGTGTACATCATCATAATCTAGGATTCCTCTCGACTTGCAATCAACAGAATCCAGAAACTCATCATATCTAGTGCATGATAATGGGAAAATGATATTTCTATATTTCAGAAAAAGTCATTTCAAGCAATGTATGTTTGGTGATAACAGTTTTGGGTTTGGTGTAACTTCACTTAAGAAGAAAACTTACCTGTCCTCATCTCCAGTAACTTTGTTAGAAGAAAAGGCACTATCAGGTATTAGTGAACCGCTCAAGTACTTTTTAAGCTCTGGAACGACCTGACGTGTAAAAGAGCCACTTTACCCAGAATACTCACCCTCGTGTTTTCCAGCATATTGATCCGTGGGTCCTGATGACATTGTATCACTTTCCAATGGCACACCTTCCCAATTTGGACCATTCACACCCTCACTTTTACCAATGTCAAAAAAGCCTCTGCATCAATTAAAAAGTGGCAAAATCAAAGGGAAAAAAACTAATTACCAAAAAACAATTACACTGCCAACCTTCTGTTTTTAGAAAAAAAATAGTTTAGTCCAATAGATAAAAAATATGTTCTTAAAATACATGAAAAGGATATGGCAAAAAAGCAGATAACTTTAAAATCAAATGATACTTGTGACAGGATACTGCTTTCTATTTGAGACAATTACGGCTCACAAGTCCTTTGAATGTGACAAATGTGAATAACGATATCCTCCTAAGTATGTTATAATAATGAAATGTTAACATGGTCATGCAAGCATAAAAATGCCATACTTGAGTGCTTGAAGTGGCTTATTAGGAAATGAAGCAAGTGAACTCTCCAAATCATGAAGATCATTAAGCCCATCCTGAAACAAGTAAAAGAGGATGTAAATCTGAAGTACAAGCTTAAAGGAAGAATGGAAGGGCTGACAACTTAATTATATGGAAAGCATTTAAGGGTTATAACTGGTACCTCCTGGCTGCTTGCAGCAATGGAATTACTAGCCATTTCACAAGACATCTTCTCAGTTGATAATCCAACTACATCATGCTGGTCCCTTTGTTTTCTGCTCCCATCTTGATCTTCCGAATCTGGCGCATCATCATAATCTTGAATCTGCAGGTAAAACACTCGGCATTTATGATGATATTAAGATTATAAAGCAGATCTAGGACTATCTTCAGATAAATAATAACAAAAACTTGCATGGATAATTGAAACTACTTACAAGTGCAGCCTGACATTTGAAGTCCTCTAGGTTGAAATTCCAAGCACTGATCCCTTTTATATACTCTTGCTGCAAGGTGAAAGGAATTCGTATTCAATATGGTACCATGTAACCATGTAGTTTTTATATGCCATGGGCATTCATTAGGCAAAGTAGAGCAAGCTACAACAATTTTTTTTAATCTTTAAGACTTGATATGGATGTGGAATGACAGAAAAAGAACACTCAGAATAAAAAACAAAAATACTAGTAAGACAAGAAGGATAGAACCTAGTACTATCAGTTTTTGTTGAGAAATGTAAAAAGCCCCATCATTCACCTGTGATAATTGGTCCTTGTCCTCATAGAGAGCTTTATTCTGTACAAGAAGATCAGCTTCTTTTGTCTGAAACATAGAGGAGTAGAGGACCAGATCAGAGTTCTAAATTAGTCCCTCAGATTAACAGAGGTCGTATGTTAAACAAAATGGGCAAGTAAGAGACCTTTAGCATCCTAAAACGTTCACCTAATGGAGCAAGGCCATCAAGAATGGTACAATCTAGATAATCATATGAGCGTGCATGTTTAAAGAAATGGTGCTTCAAAAGCTTCTCTGAAGTTGGACGTTTCTTTGGGTCCTTCACCAAGCAAGCAGCTACGAGATCCTTGAAAGACTAGAGAATTATAAAGCTCTCACGATGTTACTATCGGATACAAACAAGTGATACCAGTCAATAAGACACAATTGAGAGCACAAACCTTTGAGAACCTCTTGTCCCTTTGATAGTCTAGACCAGGAGGAGCATTTTGCAAGGTCATCAACAAAACCTGCAGCAGAAATGGGATTAAACAACCAAACTAAGAACTCAAAAATGGTAACCTAATACATACAATAACCAACAGATATAACTATCAAACAACTAAGATGTTTACTTTCATCGGTGGATACTTGGAAAATGGGGCATGGCCATGAGACAATTCGAGAGCTGTTATTCCAAAAGACCAGATGTCTGCTCTGTAAACAAGAAAGAAAAGGAGGGAACAGAATGATTTAAAAGGTATAACAAAGAAAACGAACTAAAAGAAATGAAAAGTATAAATCAGAGAGGTAATCAACTCACTTAAAATCATAACCATGTAATTGCTGCATAACTTCTGGAGCCATCCTGATATTAAACCAAGGAGACACATTGCGGCCATCATTAACTCTCGAAAATTGAATTTCCACAATAAATGTCACACCCCAATATGGGGTTAGATTTCTTTCAGTTTAAAATATATGAAATGATATAAAGTTTGATTGGCAAATAATGGTGTTATCATACTATTATTTTAGTAAACAAATTGAGGGCCACTCAATAAGAGATATTTTTTTAAGTAAGGATAATGCAGCCATGGTTGTAATCCATTGTTTTTAGATTTCACTTTCGGCCAACTTTTGTATCCACCAAAGACTTGGTATTATTTTATGCTCATGCCAACTGGAATGAAAAAAAACCCATTTTCCAAATCCAGATAAATAATTTACAATGGACTCTTGCATCTGTACCATTGATTAAAGCCTTGCAACTCACTCTCTCTTTCTTTTTCTGGTATTCGTGCTTTTATCTTGAGCTATGCTCCCTGTGGATGTCATTCGGAGTGTATATAACTAGAGTGCTCTTTCAGACAGTTTCATTTGTTTCCTTTTTGTTCATCTCTCATGGCTATTGCATCACCTGCGCACGCCTTTCCATAACGGAGTGTCGAACTACTTCTGCAATCGGATGTGTATTTTACTCTACTCTTTTTGGCTACCGAGCTTTTATACCTTATTTCAAGGTTCTATTACTGCTTAATTACATTATTTCTTTCTATGTAATCTTTCATCATATATCGCAAAATCTATTAGTGTTGTTGGAGCAATTGACTTATATTGAGGATGAGGAGGTCCAACTAATGCGTGATGCTATTTATATGAAGTACAGAATGTTAAAGAAATTTCAGAGAGCTATGCAAATAGTTGCAGTGAAAGAAGGAAATAAGAAAAGAAAAGAGAGCACGTGGGTTGTTTGAAAAAGCTAATAATGGATGAAGGGTAAATCACAACATTGTCTAATGGTTTGAATAAGATTTATTTTGGTCACTAACTTTGGTAGCTAAGTATTAAATTGACCCTTTGAGTTTTAATTTTGTTAGTTATGTCCCTCTATTATAAAAAGAATTTTTAATAAGTTATTTTTATGACGAGGAAATTTATTTTATATTTGGTTTAGTATATTTGAAGGTTCGTTTCGCGAGAAAAAGATTGGAAGCTAGAAATCAAGTTGGTGAGATTAAATTCAAGTCATATTTTGGGTTTTGTTGACGTCTTGAGTCCGATTCCGAAGTTTATATCGTCAAATTCGAACCCGGAATTATTGGAAGTTGAATTAAAGATCGAGGGCGTTCAAATGAAATTTAAATGGTCGATCAGTATGTCACAGAATCGAGGTAATACTTTACTACCTCTTTATGCTTTATGGAACATGTTGATATTGGTAAATGCATGAATAAGATAATGTTGGTCACTTTTGTGGAGTTGAATAATTTATTCTCTCGATATGAATGTGGTAGAAATGTCGTAACTGAATACGGATTTAATGACTAATATAAGAGATTGAGGAATTGTTAGAATTAAATTACAAGTTTGTGATTAGTGATAAAGAAATCAGCCCTGGGTTTGTAACTTATATTTTATATCATCAAAGGTACATGTTAAAGGTACTTGGATGGGAAATTATGAGAATATTTCGATTAGGTAAAATTACGAAATTACCCTTATATTGGAAAATGACAAGAATTGTCTCTGGAAGTGGATTAATAAATCTGAAAAGACATATTGATCTGATAAATGTATTGATATGCATAAGACATGTTATTTTACTTGGAAATTATGGATAATCGGTTTTTAACCCCAAGAGGGTTTATGCAAGATACTAGAAGTCTGTTAAGGAATCATTTCAAGATCAAAGAATGTTCGAGGAAACAACTAACCATAAAATCTCTAAATTATAAGTATGCTCGTTAAGAGTTACTACCGAAATCATCTGCTTAATAAATTACGGAAATGCCCTTGAAAGGTAAAAATAACTCGAGTTGACCCTGAATGAGAAAGTACTTTGAGGATTTGTACTTAATGAATTACGGATTTAATTGTTAAGATCATGTCTTTGTACAGAAAATTTCTGATAACCTGTTGGTAACTTCTGAGAAGACAATTGACTTGAAAATCTCCGAGTTAAGAATAAATTATCGAGGGTGCTCTTTTGTCAGAATTTATTTGATAGGTCTGGAATAAATGATAAGTTGGAATTAAATAAATAGACAGAACGAAAGGAAAGGATTAAAATACACTGAATCTGTAAAATGACCAAAATACCCCTATAATGGAAATGACCCTAGAATACCACTAAACTCAGGCATGATGGGATATCCTTGAGCTCTGTAATGATTGGAATAAAACTAAATACCAACATGACCAAAAAACCCTTATGACCTATACTAAGAAAATGTCTTGGATTAATTAAAAAAAATCTAAATAAACATAGGTGTTGGACTACCTTTAAAAGTAATGGAACACAATTTAAGTGAGTAGATCAACCCTAAGACTATATCAATACCTAAATGACATAGATATTACTGGAATGCGTGTTCATCTTCTCAAGTTTGGCTCGATGATAAATTTTGGAAGTATTCAGCTCAGCTTAACTCTAGATCGCATTCAGTACTAAGAATTGGACGTTTGTTCGACAAATCAACCACGAATACCAGAATGACTTAATTATATGACTAAATTGAACTGAAAGGAAGTACAACATGTATTTGAAATTCAGAAACGTCTGAATTATTCTAAAAAACTCTAAAGTAACTGGGATAGACTTGCTTACTAAACGAACTAAGTAACCTCAATGACTGAGGATTAAATAGGTGATTGGATGAGTTTGAAAACACTGTTGAACTTACATGATGAATTGTCCTTATGGGTTATGAACCATGAATCAAGTACGTCCGTATTTCTTGATATCGTTGAAACGTGGAAATGAAATAAAGACTGTTGGAAGATCTATTCAGCGATGATTATGGGGATGATCTATGGATCTGCATTATGGTATTAAAGAGTGAATACACTGGAAGGATAATGAATTGACTTATTGACATGCATCAGTTTGGGAGTTGTGTAACTCGAGTTGTTTGATAATACGATCGATAGTCATAGATTGTAAATGACTTGAATATTCGATTCTATATTTTCATCTAAAATCACTTCGGTCATGTTTGAAAACGCAAGTAACGCATAATGAAAAGATTTTGAATACCTCATTTGGTTCAATTGGGCTGAAATCGTATGAATTCAAAGTATATTCATGAATACCCCTGATTGTTTGGGTAATGAGATCACTCGTAGTAAATCTGAATTTATAATTATTATGTATAAAGGTTCCTGAACGTTTTCCGGATGTACATGGAAACTTAGTGGAATTCTAAAGTATCAATCTTAAATGTTTGATTAGATTGGTTACTGTTTTATGGATGCACCGACTTAATGGTGATGGTTTATAGATTTGCATCACGATATAAATTATATCTTGGATATACATATTTACAAAGTACAACTCTGATCAAGCTGGAAATTTTTTATGGACCTAATGTGACTCTTAGGTAGGCTCTACGTCCCTGAGATCATTCTCAGGTAGGCCCCGCGGCCCTAAGATGTGTTCTTAAATAGGCCCCGTAACCCCGAACTTTCTTGGGTAGGCTCTCAGGCCCTAAGATGTTCCCTTAGGTTAACTCTTTGCAAGATGGTTTTAAAATACGAGTTTAAAAGCTCAACTATAGTATGGTTTATGGGATTTTACTGAGCTATCATTTGATTAGTGTACCTATTATGATTTTATCGTACTGATAGAACACACTAGATATCCTATTCGACCTCATGAAAACGTGATAGTATGAAAGGTTTCTTATGAACTGAGATTCATGGCTTCTACTCGATGAACTACTAATGGAACCCAGATTATTCTGCAATTGGTATACGTTTGATTCAATAAGGAAATTATGGCTTCCCATTTATCTGCATGTCATGTAACATCATCTTGTAGTTCTGTATTACTGAGCTTTCCGAAGCTCACTCTATTACTCACCATTGCAGGTTAAACGAATTGTACCAGTGCATCTATCGAATTCAGTAAAGGAGCTCTTCCGGCGTTGTTTGCAGAGTATGGTACATGTAATCAGGGGCATGTAGATTGTATTTTGTTTTTATATCAGAGTCTGATAAAACCCGTTTTATTTCTGAAAAATAATAAATCATTTTATGATTTTACATGTTTTAAGAAGAGTTTTAAATTTTCCGCTATTTTTACGGTGGGTCGCTCCGGTGGCCCTAATGTGACACTCTGGATCGGATCGGACTATCCGCATCGGTCTGCGGGTGTTACAATAAAACACACACAAATAAGTAAAATCTCAGACAATTGAAGTGCCAAGGGAAAACAAATACCAGCAAGGAGTTCCAACAAAAGTATTTCTGGACTGCTGTCTGTCTCCGGTATCATACATGCATGCTGATACTCCAAAGTCTGCCAACTTGACAGCCCCATTAGAATCAATTAGAATATTCCCAGCCTGCAAATAGAAGTTATTAATGTAGATAAGAATAAAAGAGAAAATTTCAAGTCTCACCGCTATTGTTGTTATCAATCTCACTGGAGCTAATCTCACCACCCATCTAAGTGGCCTAAGAGATTCAATAGAGTACTACTATTAGCATAAGGTTTCACTACAGAAGCAAGAAGCAAGTTTTCCAGCATTTTTCATACATTGTCAATTACATTATAAGAACCATAAGTTATTCTTAATGATAGTTAAAAATTATAGCTTAAGCAGTGTCTTTACTGAAGACAGTAGATATCCAAATGGCTTGGTACCAGAATATAAAAATATATGCAGAAATGAACAAGAAAAAACATGACAAAAAAGAAAAAGAAGTGGCAATCAGAAACCTTCACATCTCTGTGAATGTGCCCGTGAGCATGAAGATAAACAAGAGCTTTAAGAACTTCACGCAAAAAGGTAGCAATGACAGGCTCTTCAAAACCTTCAGGATAAGAAGATTTCATTATATGAAGACAGGACCCCCCAGCCATGTATGGCATCACAACCCAAAGGTTGTGACCAGTAGCAAATGAACAATGTGCCCGTAATAAATTTGGGTGATCAATCAAGCTCATGGTCTGGACCTCTCTTCGAATGCCATCCTGCATTATTCAAGAACAGAAATTTTATGTTGATGTCAACTGTTTATGTCAAAGCGTTGGAGGGATTTGCAAGAGAAATGCATAAGTAAACACAATCCCCAAGCAATAGATTACGAAATACCAAACTTACGAGGTCGTTATTGCACTTTTCCAAGTCAAGAACCTTGATAGCAACAATCTCATTAATTGGAAAGCATAATGCCCTGTATACTGTGGCACTGACACCTTCTCCAACTTCTTCGTATAACTTGTAATCATTTGCATTGACTGGAAATCGTTTCTCCAAAGGATGCATCATGACTTTTTTTCACAGCATACCATTACCACCCTCCCTCTTTACTCCTATATGGTCCAATTAACAAAAGCAAATAATCAACTGAAGATTGGACTGTCAATCTATTCCGGAACTTCTCCCAATTAGGTAGCATATCCTTTTCTTTAAGGTGCAGCAGTGTACAAGTTCACTGACTTCATCAAGGTAATTGGCTTACCCAATCTGCTTCCGTGAATGCAGAAATAGTTTAAGCCCAAATCTTAGTTAATAGCAGAGAAGACCTTGCATGTCACACCAAGTACTCTGTTAGAGAACTATTTGAAGAAGCATACTAGCTAGCAAAGCCTATGAGAAAAGTGATTTTCCTCATATAGCAAATAGAAACTTAAAGACAGCCAATTTTGCATGGCATGAAACTAGTAGATGCACTCGAAAGCTAAGAAAAAGTCGGTGTAAACTAACCAAGAATCAAATTGCATGGAAGGTGGTTGGTAGTAGGGTTGTTTTAATGTATACAAACCCCAATACAGAATTGAATTAACTCTTCTTTACAAAAATCCCCTTCCTACAGAAAACAAAACTATAAGATGCTATAGGAGAAAAAATTCCAACAAAAAACATGGAAATTCAGTACCCATCTTTACAACAATTAATCTTACGAATCAGTACAAACAACTGGTAGTTCTTTTTAATTTTTTTTCCAGAATTTGAACAAAAATTAAAAACAGGCTAAACTGTAACTATCACAGCAAATTCGAACTCATTAACTATCAAATAACATAGCATTAAAAAAATCTCTACAAACTTTCCACATTTCCTCTACAAAACAACTAATCTAATAGTAAAAGCATAATCAAAGTTCATCAATTCAAAACAAAGTAAGATAAACTTATTCCCAGATTTGAGACAAACCTAGAGTTTCAGCAGATTCAAATCCGAGCTGAATCTGAGAAGACGAATAAATGTTTTTGCATTAAACAAATCGAAACTCAATCCCCACCACTTCAATTCGATTTAAGACTATATTCAATTTTCTTCTTTCTTCTTCGCCTTCTTCCTCTTTTCACCCCTTCTTCTTCAAAGACGACTCTAACGATGACGATTTGGCGATGATAATTATTGGTCGACAAATATTATAAACTCAATAATAATAATAATAATAATAATAATTTTCAAATAAATAAATAAATAATCTTCTTGTTTAAGGTCCTTGATCGAATCTTCCTAGTTTCACAGTTTGCAAAGGAAATAAGTAAAAAAAATAAAAAATTTAAGTAATAATATTTAAATAATATTTTATTCGAATAAAATGAGAGAGAAAATAATTAAAAGAAAAATATAATAAAAGTAAATTTGTAAAATATTTATAATGAAAATTTTTATTAGTTTGAGGTGAATATAACATTTATTCGAAAGATTCTTAAATCATTTAATAAAAAATATTTATATACTCTTACAAACATCATACTCAAATTCAAAATTTTAAAGAAATAACAATAATCCGTCAACTACCGAAATATTGAGTTAATATAAAGATTTAAGTTATGACATTTTTGACGTTCTACGTTCAAAGTCTAATAATACGTAAATATATATGTTATTTTAAATTTTGCTATTTATAAGTTTTATTTAAATATATTTTAATTGTTAATGTGATTATATAATGTATAATGATTAATTTTAAACATGAATGAGATTAAAATTGAATCTTGGTGAGGATAAATTATATAAGAAATTTAAAAATATTTAAATAAAGAAAATTAAGGGATAAAGATTTAATGCAACACCCTCAAACCAATACGGGTGACCCGATCTGATCCGAGGTTTTACGTTAGGGCCACCGGAGAGACCCACAATAAAAATCCAGGAAAAACTAATTTTTTTGTTAAAACACGTAAAATCATAAAACAATTTATAATTAAAATATAAGTTCAGAAAATCATTCATATATTACAAACAGAATTAAAATCATACAAATTTCATACTCAATATAAAAAATCAAATGTGACCTACATGCCCCCTAATTACACTTATATTGTACTCTTAAACCCAAGCCAAAGGAACTCCCACTACAGATGTCAATAGTTGTGCTGGATCAATTCTTTTAACCTGAAATGGTGAGTAAATGAGTGAGCTTTGGGAAGCTCAGTAATACAGAACTACCAAGTGATGCTGAAGGACATGCAAATAAATGGAAAACATATTTTTTTCCTTATTGATTCAGACGTCTACAGGTTTTCGGGATGAGCTGAGGCTCCACTGACATTTCTTCGAGTAAAAGACAAGAAGCTTATAGTTCTGAGGAAAATTTCAGAGGACCATCTTTAGTAGATAATAATAGGATGTATAGTGTGTTCTAACCAAAACCAGTGAAAAGGTACATATCTTTTTTAAAATAGTAACAATTTAAAACATATTTTTAAGACCATAGTAAAACCCTCCAACCGAACACCAATATGCAGTTCCTCATAACTGCATCCATAAGGACTTACCCTAGGCCTATTGGGCATATGTGCCAATATAAGGGAGCATATTCGGTTCATAAGGTCTTACCCTAGCCAAAGCTTAGGTGTCCACCTAAGGGGTATGCCCTTAGATCCATAAGGAGTTGCCCAAAGCACATAGCAGAGGTGCTACCCTAAGGGAGTACCTTAGGGTCCATAAGGTCTTACCACTAGGCCCATTGGGCCTAGGAGCCCACCCAAGGGTCTCCTTAGATTCATAAGGAATTACCAGTTGATAGGTACTGAACCTATATAAGGAATTACCAACCGATCGATGATGAACCTGTATAAGGAATTATTATCTTGATCAGAGCTAAACCTATATAAGGAATTACCAGCTTGATCAGAGCTGAACCTACAGAGACTTCATACCAGATCCCAGAGTGCCTCAAAGAAATTAATTTTTAGATAGTATATTACGGTAGCAGAGAAATCATAGTTCAAACATATCAATTCAGTAGAAACAAAGATCATGAATCAGACAGCCAGGCTTAAAACTTCAGTAGCTTAGAAATCTCGGTAAAACACATTTCAAAACAGATAAAACAATCATATAACACCTAGGAAACACACTAGTGGGTCCAGTTATTTTCCGAAGGAACTTGGTAATTATCCAGTGAGGTAAGCATGAAACGTTTTCAAGTGACCGAACTTGAAGAATGAGATCATTTTTTTTAAAAAAAGTTGGATTACTAACAGACTGATCAAACATTAGGAAAGTGATACATTAATATCGTATAATATTCATATATAACCCTAGGATATGTCAGAAACTGCTACATCAAAATTATTTAAGATTCAGATATTCCCGTGGTGATTTCATAAATCATTCACACGTAAGGGCTTTATATTCATTTAAATTCCTAAGAAATTTTGGTAATTCAATTTAATAAAGGCAAGTAGCGATTTATAGTATTTCAGATTTCAAGTGTCTTATCCAGCTTCCAAATTAACTCGAACTAATTATATCCCAATAATGCGATACTTACCGAGAGTTTGCGGGTAGAGGAGTCTCATGAATATTCACTTCTTAATACTAATTGTTCCATAGAGTTGAGTTGAGATGACCTGAGCATTTTAAGAATTATCATTGAACGAACCTTGAGGAGACAAACAAGTATTCAACCATTCCATGACTTGGGGTATCTTAGGTTGTTTATACTCCAGGGGCATTTTATAGTTCAAGGGTATTCCAATCATTTCCTTCCATTCAGTCTTTCCATTTAATTTAATTTTTCTGAATAATTCAAACATGAATAGTACTTCAAATGTTTTAGCCTTTAGGTTGTAATACCCCAAATATCGGGTCAGTGAGTAAAGTGTAAGGATTTAAAAGTTAGTGGTTTAATTTTGATAATTAGAAAAGTTCAAGGACTAATTTGGAAAATTTATATAGGATTTATAATTAAAGATTGAAGGTTTGAAGGGCAAAGTGGTCTTTTATCATGAAAGGAATTAAAAATTCATTTATAAGGTTATTTAAGCATGTGGAAAATATGGAAAAAAGAAATGAGAATTCTAGATACTATTCTCTTCTCTTATTCTCTTCCACCATATGCTTCCATGATTAAGGTAAGTTAATTGAAGTTGTTTCATTCCTTCATTTTTTTAATTTGGTTTTGGTTCTTTTGGTAATATAGAAGCCTAATAAATCTTAAAGATGAGTAGATAATAAGAGATGGATAAATTAATAGTGATTTAGTAAAATGGGTTTTTTAGGGAATCGTTAGGAAATGATGAATATTTGAATTCTAAAGGAATATTTGACTTGTCAAGGGTTTAATTAAGGGATTAAAAGTAAAAAAAATGGATTAAGAACACATTTGAAGAAGTGATATTATTTTTAGTCTCAAGAGTTATATGGATAAATTTGGATGTCTAAAGGAGATTATTGTGTATAAGTTAGTTGGGGTAAGTGTAAGTAAGTTTAAAGGCATGAATGGGGTATAAAGTAGGATATTTAAGTGAAGATGGGTAAATTTTTGAAATAAAACAGAAGAATTCTGGGTAAGGGTATCGGTACTGGAAGAACAATACCGATACTATAAGGTTAAAGTTAAAGAGTTTTGTATGAACCAAAGATCAGTATCGATACTAATTGAATTAGTATCGATACTAATTGAATTAGTATCGATACTAATTAAATTAGTATCAGTACTGATGTGGAGGTATCGATACCAAGAGGACGATATCGATATTGTAGTTGAAAGGGATTTCCAGAATGCTAAAGTGATATCGGTACTGAAGTGGGTATTGGTACCATAGAAGACAAGTATCGGTACTGTAGGCAGAGTATCAATACTAGTTAGTCTGAAATGTTAAATTAAGTGTTTTATTTCATTTAAGTAAATATTATTTGGGTAGGTGTAATTGAACTCTGACATTCATGGGTCATATTAATGTGTAGATTTGATCGGAAACAAGTGTTGAATGAATGAACGTGTAGAGTTAGTAAGCTAAAATGAAATAAGTGTTGCTTAGGACTTAAGTGAGGCAAAGATGAGTGCTATTTATTTAAATAATTTATGATGCGAGGAAGGCTTGTGATGAGCCAACATAAAATTATTTTTAAATAAAATGAAATGACATGAGTTTATGTGAAGATTTTCTATATAAGTATGATTCCTATAAGTAAATGAATAAGTGGAATAATGATATGTAATATGAAATAGTTATGTGAATCACTATGAATATATGTTATGTGATTAAAGGAAAATATTGAAGAATGCTATGAGAAATGAAATACTTTGAGTAAATGTTTGAATATGAATAAATAAGAAAATTTGTTAATGATATGTGACAAAGATTTACGTGAAGTATATGTAAATATGTGATAAGTGTATATGTTTTATAGAACATAAATGATGCGAAGAAAAATGTTCTAGTGAAAAATGTGATCTACGTGAAACTGTTCTACGTGAAAGTAAACTACGAGAATCTACTCTATGCGAATAAGATACACTTTAATTAGTGAAACTCAAAATAATTATAAGTTAAAGCCCAAGGTATATGTATGAGAATTAGAGGTATAATTGGTATGCCAAGAGTCAAGGGTTCTACGCGGTCATTTGTGATAATCTATATGGTCCTTTGGGACATTTATACGTGGTCCTTCGGGACAAATTCTACGTGGTCCTTCATGACAAACCTATATGTCACTTCGGTGCAAATTATGTGAGCTGTGGTGACAGCATTGGTGCACAACCTCAACGTACTCACATACCTTAAGTTCTCAGTATTTTACGTTGGGCTGATTGAACAAATGGATATTGAATGAAAAGTGTATAAGTTATATGTAGTTTTTATATGGAGTTTAAAAATGATTATGAAAGTGTACATTGTTTAAAAGTTTATATTGTTAATGACATGAAAGTTATAATCAAGAATAAAATGAGTATAAATTCATCAGTGTTTAATAAGAGATGTTATAAGTTATAAGACTTGTGGTGTTTGTAGTTTTAAACTTTTTTTATTATAAATTTATACAAATGTTGTATTGTTTCATATTATTCATAATGCTTCACTAAGTCAATGACTTAGCGTGTGAGTGTTTTCACACGTAGGTTCAAGAGTATACGAGATGTAAGCAGAGTAAGCAAGGGCATGATAACATATATTTGTAGAATTTCAGATAAGAGAAATATGATATTGTATGTGATAGTGTCACAAGAAGATTGTTGGCATGTACCAAAAAAGTAAAGTATAGATTCTTTGAT